GGGGGGGGGGGGGGGGGCTGAAAAACCAGGAATATAGCGTTACGCGCTTTATTACGAACGACCCTCAAGTTCTTAAGACTACTAAAATCTCTCTGCAGAGATGATGAAGTGAAGTTATTCCATAATTCTCACCTAACGAAAAATACTCGTAGTTGCCTCAAGAGCTTGATATCTTCGAATTAACTCGAGGCTATGCGAAATGACACAGGGACTCACTTGATGGCGTTACCGGTATCTCTGTCTGAATTTGTGGAGTTAGAGGTGGTTTTAAAATTCCTTGAACGTGTTTGGTAAGAATATGGGCTTCTTTCATGAATTCTGTACCTATACATTCTACCTATTCTATTTCTATACTCTATATCTGAATTTCTAATAGATCGTTCAACAATTGGAGGTATTTACGCAAAACGGAACTACTGATATAGAGTTTGCGTGAAACATGGTTCCTTTCAGCAGTACGTCCAAACATCAAACCGCAACCGTAAAGTAGTTCTGCAGAAGCTGTCGCACCCGTTATACACGATTTTTATTTCCTTCCGAGGGCAATTAGGTTACGACGCTGGCGCTGGAAACTGAAAACTGGTTTCTCAATTTCCAATGCAGTGCGTGCTGAACGGCTACGCTTTCCCGCTGATTCAGTGTTGTCGCGAGGGTGGAGTGATGAGATGAAACTGGGCGCCGTATTGCTGAAGGCGCCAAAATGAAAAAGAGATTGGAGAGGAAGGAAGGAAGATAAACGGAATGAAGAGAGAAAAGGAAAAGAAAAGAAGGAAGGGAAGAAATTGGCCGAAGCTGAAAAGGCATCGAAATGGGGGCAATAGGCGCTTCTTGGAATGGAAAATCCCTCTTTAGAGCTTAATTTTTAAAGAAGAGGGCGCCTTTTGATGGCGTGGTATCTCGTCACTCTCTCCCCGAAAAAGGGGCGCTCTTATTGTCGCCTCTTTCCAAAAAGAGGCCTACTTGGAGACGGTGTGTGGCCTCAGAGGCAGCATGTTCCCATCATTTCAAAACCCAATCAACAGTGTAACAGCGTAGATTAGCGAGCAATGCGGTTGCCTCCTAGTCGGATGAAGAGTGTCGATACGTAAAACACGCCTTCAACGAGAAATGATGCTTCCTAGCGTGGTCTTGGAGACCGAATAGTTGCATCCTTTAAAACCACGATCGACTGAGACAGCGCAGTTTAGCAAGTAACGCGGTCGCCTCATTTCCTAGGTGAAAAGTGTCGGGGCATAAGAAACGCCTTCATTTTGAAAAGATACTTCCGAGCGTGGCCTCAGAGGACGAATAGTTGTATCATTTAAAACCGAATGAACAGTGAAACAGCGTAGATTATTGGAGAAGATTCACTTAATGCGGGAAGTTTCCGATAGCCGATCTGACCTAGACGTCAACTTCAGTTTCCTCACGAACAGGAAGTTTAAATACGCTGATTCCACCGTAGACGAAGTACCAACGGTTGTTACTCATTAACAAGTTCATTTTGGGTTATTTAAACATTCTCAACGTGTCTGGCGCAATTTTTGATAAAAGAATACGCCTAAAAGTGCAACAGTGCTTTGATTCTTAACGCATGTGAGGGAGCTTTCGAATAAATCGATACCCCTTGCTTTTCAGTGGGATGTGGGTTGCAAAATCTGAAAATGACCTTGGATTGTCTTTTTAAAGTTCCAGTATTCCAGAAAATTGAATTTTCTGCAGAAAATCCTGTTTCCTTTAAAGGAAAACTCAATTTTTCCGGAAAAGAGGTGGGTATAGTGAAAAAAGTGATGTTATGGTTTTGCACTCAGCACAAAAATTACGTAGGAAATAGCCAATGTATATTCTTAGTTTTCCAAGGTAATCGTTCTTTATAGACCTATAGATCCACTCCTGCAACGATTATGGAGAGACTTTAAGGCTGGGTAGAAGAGTCAACCGGTAAGAAATTCATTTAAAATCTTTGTTTTCGCTCGATTTTATTAGAATGAATTGTCGTTGTAGAAGATATTGATGTCACATACTTTATTACAATATTTTCTATTTTTCAACTCTTTGAGTCATCGAACAAACACCAGATTGTTTTTTTTTTAAAAAAAATACCGTAGCTAGTAGTTCCGTGACA